TATTCTTACGCCTCATCAATTTATTTATTACTCATAGCAAATCGTTTAATCTTTCCTTATATGGAAGTGAAAGATCTTAAAATAACTTCTCTTTTGAAGTATAAATCTAATTATTATTCATTGGCATGTTTTTAGCCTTGAAGTCCCAAAATAGAATTTCTACCCTTATCCTTTACTAAAGATATTTTATGAAAACGAATGAAGTTTTAATGCTTTTATTAATACAAAAGTATTTAATTTTTGTATTATATATATATATATATATATATATAAAGATGCATTATATTGTTAAGGGATAAGAATTATTACATTTTTAATGATTTTTTTTTACGCACAAAAATTAATGCAGAAATTCTTATGAGACTGCTTCTGCATATATTTTTAGAATCCTTGACAAAAATGAAACAAAAATAGAGGTCAAAAAGAAATCTTTCAATGAAGAGGGGGAAAAAATAACTTGCTCAAAATCTGGCGAATCATTAGCGAGAAATTAAAATAACATCATATCCAGTTATATTGCGAAAGAAAAACTGAGAAGAAATAGAAAGCAAAAACATTCAAATTTCTCTAGGTATTAAACCTAGTTTTTTTTTTATGTTCCGAATTCTGCCTTCTCTAATATTGATTCATCAAATGTTGATAACGTTTCTTTTTTCCTCACATTAATATCAATCGATGACTTATATGTATATTCCTTTTTGATTCAAAATTTATCGTTTTTGACAAACGGCAGAAATTTTTTTTTTACAATTTTTAAAATTAAAGGCGATATTTGTTAACAAATTTTGTTACTGATTTTGAAATATACTGGTTACCTAAGCGGAATAGATTTTACGAATCGCCAAAAACTTTTGAAGTATAATCTAAATCTGGTGCTCAACTGAAAGTATGAATATCTCTTTCAGATAAACCTAGTGATGAGAAAAAGAATATTAAAGAGGCTGCAGAAGATATGGTTGATATTCTTGACTTTGATCTTGAATATGATGACGTCATGGAGGGTCTAACTGAGAAACCACTTGATGCTGATAAAAGACCGCTGGTGAGAGACAATGAAAGTAGTAGAAAGGACACACAGGAAGGCAATGTCGGTGTTGAGTATGTAAAATTTTAAAACAAGTTTTTTAATTAATTTCAAATGAATGAAAAAACACTTTTTCGTAATAAATGTAAACCATGCGCAAACAATTTTCAGTGTAATCCATAATTCGGTGTAATCCACAGCAATTATGAAAAGTTTATTTTATCTACAGTTACAATTTAATTGGTCTTTCACTAGCAGTTGGGAAATACTTATTCCGAAAGAGTGAAACTTGGCAAGTCTGCTTTAGTTGTGTGAGATTATACACACAACATAAGCTTAGATCAGGCCTGAAAATGAGACAAAAAAAGGTGAAAACAGGTAATAAACACCATTATTTCAATAGCTAATTTTCGGGAGAAATAAAATAAGCTCTGTCTATTCTTATTTATTTGGTCCAATTATGATTGTTTTAGGTATTTTATAAAATGAATCGGTTGCTTTTTTTTAAAAGCAGGACAAACTCTACCTTTTCACTTAAATGTTGATTAGAAGACTCTAATGCAGTGTTTCCCAAACTTATGACTTTTGTGTACCCTTTCTTAATTTTTGGTAACGCTGTGTACCACTAATGAAAAAGTGAATGTATATTTTACTATAAAAAAATTGCACAAAAGTTAAAAATCACAACTGGTTGTTGACACCACTAGTTATTAACTGTTAACTTTGCAAAAAATAGCCTATGGAAAAACACGTAATCGTAAATTTTCATGACTGGCTTTGTTTTAGATAAGGAAATTTTGAAATTTTCGTTTGTTGCAAGTTATTTCGCATAAGCACACGTATCCCCACTAAACTGTTTCCGTACCCCTAGAGGTACGCGTACCACACTTTGGGAAACACTGCTCTAATGCATCATATCAGGAATTTTAGTTTCTGTGAAAAATAACTGGAGATAATTTCATAATTTTTATTTAAAGGAATATATATATATGTATATATATATATATATATATATATATATATATATAGATATATATATATATAT